TTTTTTACAAATTCGCAGTCATTTCAGACAACAGAAGAATGGAAATCCAACTCAAGGATGAAGCATTATGTACCCACCTCCTTGTAAATTTTCCATTTGTTTTCTATGGTATGCCCACGCAACTGACCCACGGTACTTTCACGGAGGGAATTGTCCAACACAAAGACGTCTAAATTTTTTAGAACCTTGGATTCTTTGCCAGCCTCGTCAATCTCTTTCTGCATTTTTTGGATTCGTTCCTTGTAGTAAGCTTTGTTTGCCATGACGCTCATTTGATTTGAGAATACTGAAAGCAAAAAATTTTCAATTATAATTATACTAGCTAAACCATTAGCTGGGACAAAAAGAACTACATAGGATTAAAGCGTCTTTTTTAATACCCTCATTATGCTCGGTCTCATTTTTGGTGATGCATGGTCTCACTGGCCGAAGCCTAGTCTTTCGCGCAGTTTTCTAGAGATTTGAATTGAAATAATATTTCACGTCGGTGTCTCAAACACGTAAAGTATCGACATACTTAAAGAACTGCGCGGCATAAGATCTACTTGCGTCAAAAATATTTTCATAATCTGTTTTGGCTTGCTTTAGTTACATAATTTTTTACGTCTCTCGTAAAAAGTTTACAATACGCGTTAAGAAAGGAATCAAGTCCTTAGTTCCAGTTGCTTTTCACTTTTTTGTGTCGTATTTGCTTGCACCTTAGTTCTGTTTAGTTTTCTTTCCTGCAATATTTACCCAAATGTCGCAGTCGGGAAGTAAAGTGAATATTTTAATTCACGACTTTAACTTCGTGTTAGTGTTGATTTTTTTTTAATTTCATCTAATCTTTGCCAAGTTCAAAAGCGATTGATCGTTTTGTGAAGGAAACTACAACATGCTACTTCGATGAATTTATAACCGACTATAAAAAATGGCTGCAGATGGCAAAATCTTAGAGGTGATTAATAGGGGTTAGAAACCACTGAACTGAGGAATTTAGATTTGTATTTTTCAAGATCTAAATAGCATAACACCTGACTTTTGTTGGAGGAAATCGATGGTCCAAAAGATACTTTTTCAATCCCGCATCCCGCCGCCATTTTTTCATTCTATCCCGCCATCCCGCCGCAATGAACATTTTCATCTTGATCCCGCCAGGTTAAACCCAAGTTGTTTTGGTTCACCGCCAGCTGATGGACAAATTATAGCCTTTACAATACTGATAATGTATTCTCGTTATGCCGAAATGCAAAGACTTGCTTAATGCATATTTAGCCGGCTTGAAAATCGGTTGTTCTTAGGTGCGTTTAAGTGAGACAAAAGCTGCACCCAAGAAAAGACCAACAGAAAAGCTATCCTGTGTAAATAAATAAAATTCTTCAGCCGATCGCACAGCAACGGAAGTCATATCTCAAAGATATGTCATCAACATCATAGAAAAAATAAAAGCTTCCGAAAGAAGTGATACTCGTCTCAACGGACGTTAGGAGTTTATACACGAATAATCGAATCTTACTCTTTGTAATAACGCAATACTATCCAAAAGTTCCAAACTGCAAAGAAACCCTCATAAGCAAGTGGCATTTAGTTCTGCAACAACCATAGAAAGGGGCTGAATCACGCACACGTATTCAAGCGCACTATCTATTGTTAAAATTAACAGCAGTATTTGAAGGGTTGGAGACGTTCGTGACCAAACACACCGGTAACGGAAATGGTGACAATTTCGGAAGTCATAAATATAACAATCAGGATTCTAGGTTAAATATTAAGCGATTGTCTCACTTTTTGTACAATTATGTTGTTGATCCAACTTAACTTTATTAAGGACATTAATTTCATAAGTAAAGATTTTAAAAAGAGTAACTGATGATATCTTCGATACAGTTGTGATTTCTGGAAATACTTTTCAAGTCTCTGAGCTCGATAACGCTGTAAGCAGAGGTTTTAATAACTTTTATTTCATAAGCGGCTTCCGAGGATCCAAATAGGCGGCTATGGCCTGAGAAAGGACCATAGGGCAAAACCAAAATTAAAAACAGTTCGCCAGACTGCCGCAGGGGTGACCGTCAGAAACAGGACCCCCTGTAAATGATTGAATAAAAAACTTTGATATTCTATAGGTTAACTTAAAGTACATGTCACGTCTAAATCAAACAACAGTCCTTGTACCTTTGTTATTAATAAACCAAAAGACAGAATTTTCGACGAGGTCATTCGACCACGAAGTCGGGTTACGAAACGGCAGACGAACGCGATAAACTACACGAGGGACGGCCAGATATCGAAGAAAATCAAGGAAAGAGTTTAGAAGTCATTACATTTCTCTAAAGTTTTCAATTACAATTTAATTTGTCATGAGAGTGCCTTATCCATGCTTTAGGGTTTTTACAGTTGTAATTTAATAATATTTCGTTTCCGGGTAGCTCGATATGTTGCACGCTAGAAGCTGTGAAATGTTGTCCTTATTTTACTAGCCTTTTATGATCAACAAAGCGTCATCGAGCAAACCATCTTCGTTTACAGTATTAAGACAAGCATGTAATGATTTATTGCTAAATCTCGTGCGTCAGAAACAATTGAAACACGAGTACAATGGTTTGGTAAGGGAAGCTTGGACTACTATCACACCAACAATGATATTGATATATTTTCAATCACAGGAAGAAGAAAAAAAAAAGTTCAGCTCCTTCTGAAGAATGCCGACATTTGTCCATTTTTTTACTTCATTAAAACGTTCCTTCAGTAAAATAACTTTCATATTTAATGATAATAAACATTGTTAGCAACATAATACGAAGTTGAGCCCGTGTTAAGTAGCAATGGAGTTATGTCGATTGATGCCCAAAGGGAGAGGCATGTTGCTTTCGCGATGGTCGCGATGATTGCAAAACAATAATTCGTAGCAGGAAGAACAAAGGGCAGGCGTTCATGGAAAAACAACACCCCATTCAGTGATTGAATATCCCGCACGTTTTGACCTGCAGGTTAAAACTACGATCGCAAACACGCCCCAATTTTGACCAATCACAATCATCCGCGCGTTGACGTACAGTTCAAAGAAAAAGTCTGCTTAGTCGCTCTGATGCTAAACTCGTTTACTCGCGGATATCACAGTGATAGCAAAGCAACTGCTTCAAAATAACAAATTAATAATAACTAGAATGCACTATAAAGTGAAATAAGCATTCAATGTCTATTCCGATAGTTTAAAACACAGAGAAACCGCATTTAGGATACGTCTGCCATTAGTCATGTAGAATCATGTCTAATTGGATTCTGCTCACTGTAACAGAAAAAGATAATTCTCCGAAAATAAAATGTTGAAGCTCGTGGACTTTGAACGAAGCTTTAAGTCTATCAAGTAACCTTACAGCTTGCCCTTGAAACACCTTACCTGAAGCAACTGGTTTCCTACTTGGGATCTCGAAGTACGCTTGCCCACCTCAGGCAGATGCGACACAGTGACACGAATAATTTATGGATTTGGGGACCATATTTATGCTAAATTACAATCGCTCTGATTGGTCAATATTTATAGCCTGCGTGGGTTTGAAGAGCTGGCCACGGATCTTATTGAATATATATTGTTTTCAATTCCACGCTTGATAACTTGAGATCAACTTCGTTGATGTACCATCAAGAAGTGTGCAGCCGTGCGTAACACATTGAAAATAGTGAATGGATTCTGCAAACGACGGAGTCACGGAATGTCTAACCACAAAACAATTTTCTTTGCTTCGTTTATTCAAGGTGGGCAAGTAGTATTTTAATGACCTTTATATGTAAAGATTTCGGGTCGTGAGGTATTTGTACACCATTAAAAGCAAGAGTTACCATAATTATTGTCCGAAGTTTTCATGCACGAGAGTTTTCAGCCATAAGTAGGGATGTACGCTTACAAGAATGCCGCATTAAACAGCATCGAAGGTAATCATTTCCTCTAAATCCAACATCTCAGCTGAGAGGTCATATTTAATTCACCTTTCAAGTGACAGTCTATTATTCCACGTGATTTTGATTTGTACACCTACGCAAAACAACACACGAATGCTCCATCGAATAAAACCACAGGAAACGGGGAGGGCTTAGAAGAACAGTTACGAGTGCAGCCTCTTTGTCATTAGAGTGAATTACGCTCGAATGCACCGAAAATTGAAAATTTACGGGTAAATCCTTGACTACATGCCAGAATTTTTGCAATGTTATCGCGTTGAAGTTTGCAATAACTTGCAAACATCGGGAGACACTCCTGATGTCGTGCAATATTGTTAATTTAAAATGACTTGTTTGTCTAACTCGGTACATTTCATTTTCCATGTTTAAAATATATCTGCATAAAAATTAATGACCGCTTGGAATGACCGCAGTCGGTATTGCACTGGTAAAGTTACAGCTTTTGATATCAAGTGTCCACAGCACTTCGGATATTCTACCTAACTAAAATGACGTTCCATAGAGATCGTAGGTAGCTGGCTATTTTTTTTTTTTTCAGATTGTATTAAAACTTATTGACGAAACTAAGCCGCAAAAGGCTAAGGGATCAATCCCTTGACCTTTTGCGGCTTGGTAAACGTTGTGATTGGCCAATTTTCATGGTGTGTTCGAGTCTGACGCAAACACAAGACATGGTTGAGGTCATATCATCGTGGGATGTCAGACAATAGAGTAAATCGACAAGCCTTCTATCAACAAAAATTCTGAAATATGATTGGCCACCCCTCTAGTTTTCTTTTGCTTAGTAGGCAATGCAGAGAGTGAGTACGTGCGGTTGTAAAATATGAATTTGTTTAGATGTTAGGGCTCTAACTCCCAATATAAAATTCGTTCTCCATTTCTCTACGTGATATGTCTATGGAGAACAATATATTCGGCTTCGCCCTAACTTGCGATCATGTTTTTCATGGAGTCTGGGTTTGAAGAGGGCAGAGGCCTTTGTTCATTTTTTATGTGGTCACAATCTGCACTTATTTGTACATGAAAGCGCAAACCCGCGATTAGATGACAAAGTTTGCTGAACGGATAGACTCTCGAAACACAAACAACTCGAGACTATTTTTTTCAGTTTATAGGTAGGGATCACGCCCTGAGCGTGCACACAAGTTTTTTTTTTCTAATTTGTTGTTTATGACACAAAATCGACCTTCGCGTAATCAATAGCATATTATTGTAGAGCATGGCTCGAAACGTACACATTCCAACACGTTTGCAATTCTCGTAGCTTTGTAAGGAAATAAACTTGAGCGATGAGAATGCTTGCTATCCGAAGTGAGAAAACCGTGACAGAATTCGAGGCCAGGTAAGTTTTAATTTCAATGAGAAAAAGTCGGAATTTAGAATGTTGGTTATATATCTAAAAAAAAAAACGTGGTACGAAAAAAAAAATCCTGTAAAGCATCCTTTGATGTTATCAGTTGTACTTTGCACGCTTTGTTCAGTTGACGTCTGGAACGCGCTATAAATAGCATATTTTCAGAGATGATAAAAATTTATTTTTCTAACTTGCCACAGGGGTCTGCACCCTGCTAGGAAACGACTGTACTCAAAAAAGCTTGTTTCATTTAGGCTACAAAACGTGAGCTCAGTCTGATTGCATAACCAGTTTCAGAAGAATGAGACTTAAATCACTTTTAGTCTTATTTTTAAAAGACAAAACGTTAACAAATACTTGTTATTCAAAGTCACGACGAGGCCAGCTGCCTATTGTAAACATAGACGTACGACGCATGCTAGAGTTACGTGTTTTGGATGAGTCGGTTGAAATGGGACTCTAAATAACTGATGTTTGCATCTTTATTGAAGGAAAATAGCATTTACTTTCAAAATATTCCGATGAAAATATCGTTCAATGGAGAGCACGCTCTCCAAGCACAGGAATATTAGCTTCTTGACCGCGCTTCGGGATAAAGCGGAAGTCACATGAGGTCTCAACGGACTTCTGAGTCTTCTTCTTCCGAAGAGGATCTATAAGAACTACCATTTGTTGACGTTTTAACTGCAGCCTGCAAGTCCTCTTCATCATCGTCTGAACAGCTGAAGAAGACTCGCGGTAAGCAGTCGAAACGTTGCGATCCACATCCGAAGTTCATCCAGGGACGAACGGTCACACATTACATGGAAAGTGTATTCACTTCAACTATAAACCGAAATTTTTCAACGTGATTTTGAAAAAAGAATCTCACGCAGGTGCCTCATTAATGCGAGCTAACGCTATAAGCTCGCAATCGTTTATCCGACCGGCCATGTTTGAGTTGGAGCTAGAGTGGATGGTTGAGGTAGAGGGTAGGGGGCTGGGGAACGGCGAAAAAAAAACTCTGCACGCTTTTTATTAACAATTTACACACTAACATCAGTAAAGGTTTTCTCCATACTGTTTCCATACGTTCTTTAAGGTGCTGACAGGGAGAGTTTGTTTAACAATCAAAAGCTTCTTTAGCTGCTGATAATTTTCTTTATTCTCGTGACCTTACTGCATGATTCAGAGGTGATATTGTAAGGAGAAATCAGATGTTAGTCACTCTTAGGTGTTAAAGGGTTAAACTTGGAGCGTGACGAATTCGTTCTTAGCAGGCGTAGGCTTCTTCTTTTACGAATCCCGTATTGATCCGTATTTAGACCTTTTTACGCCTGTTTCGCCGTGTTATATGACTGTGGATGGCAAACAAACTAAACAAATTGCGAGCCGAACAAGATACAGACTAAACAAACCCAGGAAAAAGCGACGCATTTTATTTTTGGACCTGTCATTTTTAAGTAAGGCAGCCCTGACTTCAAATAGATTTGCATAATTCTGGAAGTGCTACAGCTGATTGCTTCTTCAACACCTGGCGTTGAATCCTGTATTGAATAAAGGTGTTATTTATTGAACTGTTTTTCATGCAAACCCAGCTAGCAGTCTTTGACTAACTATAGCCTTGTGCAATCACTTCACCGAATTCCCTATGTCCCCCAGACGGAAAATTTGGTCTTGTTTGATTGATGGTTTATCTAAAGTTGTCGATGAAAATTCAACCCTTTGAACAAGTCGTTGATTGAAAATTCAATTCTTTGAATAAATTGAAAATTGAGGCAAACGTAGCTTAAATACTCAAGCTTAAGACGCAATCCGTGAAACTTGCAGATTTTTCCTGAGCAACTACCACATTGTTCTTTTGATAGACTGTAATACCGGCGGATAAACAAAATCAGGGGTGCTGGCTCGCTAGTTTTCTATCACAGTTTCTCGGTAAGTTGCTTAGCAGGAACTCGCGGTTAAATTGGTCGAAAGTTGGCAGTAAAATGCAGATGCCAAGTCGCGTTATGCACGTGCACGGCCGTGCGCCATGGAGACGTAGACCCTTACAGCTCAATAGGAGTGAAATAAGAAAATCACACGCGCACGTTATAATTTATCCTTAAGCACGGAGTAGCAGCCATTAGTAAACACGCCCCTTAAGCACGCGAATCTTAATTTCTTGACTGCGCTTCAGTATAAAACAGAATTCTCGAGAGGTTTTAGCGAGCTCTTGAGTCTTAGAAAAATATGAAGATCTCCATGAAATATTGTTGTTTGTCTCACGATGTCTTAACTTACGACGTAAATCGTGAAGTTTCGATTGCACGCCTTCTTCGTCGCTTGAAGGTAATACGCCTTATGCAGTGGAGACGTCAAGATATACTTTCGAAGTGAGGTAAACGATCCTAATTCATTTAAGAAGTGTATTCACCATAATGCCGTGCAACCGCAACCTATTTTACAGTATAAAGAAGATCATTTCACCTTACCTGAAAATTTTTGCGAAGATTCTTTTACGCCTCAGTTGCTGAAAGCGCAAAGACTGGTCGGTTTCTAGGAAATATAATGCGCTAAATAGAATCTTAGTTGTATTTTGCATAAGCTATCATAGCAACGGTGTTCTTTGCACAATTATGTCAAATTATAAAGGTGTTCATTGGCTAATTGATTAGCAGGCTAATCTCTAGGACAGTATCAATTACTTGTTTATCCGCATCTGGAATAATTAAAGATGTTTGACTTAGCTTACTAGCTATCTGCCTTTGACAAGCTTTTCGCTCGCACTTTCATAAAATTCCCTATTTCTGGCCTCGTCTCCGAAATTTTTTGTGTCTCTTCAGAATTGAAAGTATTCTTACCAGACAATTTTGGAAAAAATCTTTAACGCCTGGCTGAAAACTCGATGGAGACTAATCGGTTTCCAAGAAATTGTATGCACAAAATAAATCTTAGTTGTAAATATGCATATGTCATTGCAGCAACAGAAGGAAGTTTAAGAAACGACGATGGCGACGCCGTGGACGAAGTCGGTTAAAAAATGAACTTATACTTTACCTACAAATCTCGCGATTCTCTAAAGTTATTTAGTTTGTTTTTCACTGTCAAAACTATCTCGAAACTGAATAGGGAACACGGTGTTAAATTAGAAATAAACATTTAAAAAATTAGCCTTCGTCGTGCACGTCCTCTAGATAACGCAAAGTTTGGTCATTTCACGTTGTTGTTTTGCAGAGGACGCAAAGAAATTTATAAAGATTTGTAACGCACGTACACAGCCATCGTTCCTGCTCATTACCCTTTTTGTTGACGTTTCCGTTGCCGTTGCCGTTGCCGTCGTGGTTTCAAGTGGTTCTCTCAAACCCCCTAGTGTTCTTCTCACGACAACTCGATCTAAAGAAGGCCATGCTGCGAAATTTCGTGGGGTTCTTCTTAAATAACATGATTTTTAGGAAGACCACTGCAACGACTGAGCAGAAACTCGAGAAAATTTCCCGAGCAATACCGATCTTTACAGTTAGGGATTCAAACCAGTAAATGACTTAGCGTTATTATTCCTCAATTACACCATTTCACCATATTGGAGCACTGGAGCGCTCTCAGAAACAAATATGTTGCTTCACAGCCTACGAGGCAAGAGGCAAGGAACACTCCCTTTATTTTTTCGTTAAAACGCTCTGCGGCGTTGGGTCGAAAATCTAGTTGTAAAATTGAAAGACAGAGCAAAACCTATTTCTTTCGCGACCCCGCGCGCGTAAGGAGAACCGCTGACATATCGTCATTAGCTTTTTCCTCTCCGAACGATCAAACGAAGAGCTCTTAACACTTTCTCTCCTTTCTTTCCATTTTGCTGATAAAATCATGAAATTCAAAAGGCACATTACAGACTTTCAAACATGATTTATTGATATTTTTACAAACAAATGCGTTGTTGACAGTACACTTATTATAGAATATCCTCGTTGTTCTCAACTATTTATTCCTATACTGTTCACATTTTTCCATTTTCCCAGGGAAATAATCGCCAGGGGGAGAATGAATGAACGCGAATACTCGCGAGCCCTGCTCACTTTCCTTTGGACACACAACTCGGGCACTCTCACGTGACACTTGGCCCATTATTCATTAATCGAGTTTTACTCAGGAGGCAAAACGAGTTATAATCAATACAACCTGTTGGCATTATCTTATCAATCACGTCAGCCAAAATTCAGAGTTAAATAACTGTTATAATATTCCTAATTTTTGAATGAGAGTTTGACTTCACAGAAAACTTTTTTCCAATGTAACAACAATCCAGTAATTTCAGCACTATTTTTCAAACTCCTTCAAATGAAATGGGTAATAATCAGGCATGCAAAAATTAACCCTAGATGTAAGCACAGTGCGAGGCATTCTTCTGTTTTAGGCCTTCAACTTAGCCAACATCTCCTCGATATCTGCATCCGATGTTCCCTTGGAAGCTGCCGCCCGTTGTCCTGTTGGTAATTTACCGCCATGCGCGGAAGGTGCTTCTGCCATCTAAACAAATGAATGCTCGTTTATTTAAAGGAATGAGTAAATAAAATATTGACGATTTCAAATGAAAACAACAGTCATGGCGTCTTGGACGCCTTTCTTCGCCATTTTGGATCAATGTCACTGTCGGAGCAACTGCGCACCTACCCCTCCCCTGACCCAACCACATTCAACTGAGGAAAATTGGGTTGGGGGAGGGGTACGTGCGCAGTTGCGCAGTTGCCCAGACAACGACATTTATCTGTTTTTTCCACAGACAATTCTAAATATAAAGTTCAGCTTTTTTGTCGTAGAAAAAAATTATTTCTAATGGAAGGAGAACGTGAAGATGCATGTTAAGAAGAAGACAAAATTTAGCCACTTCTTTCTTCCCTGAGAAGGAGCCTGATCGAATTAACAATAAATAAATACATCGTATTTTACTTGAGGATGAGTTACCTAGCGGCAACTTGGTATTCAAATGCTATCTGCAGTTGAGACTTGTGCATAAGAATAGGTTCAACATTTACAACTTTCTACTATTCTGATTGGACTTCAATGATCACGTGATATGATGTCATCATGTGATTACACATGTCAAGCAGACACTGGTAGTAAATAACAGTTTGAAATTACCATACATAGGAAATGAGTTTGGAGTGAGAAAAGAACAGGAAACTATGTTGTAAGAAGCAATAATGCTTTAGAGCCATTCCATATACCTTCCCAGATATTTCAATGCCGATCTCATCAAGAACTTGATTGACGATCGCATCCTGCTCCTCCTCATCTCCTGATTCATCTAATATTGACTCTAGAGTATCATTCACTAGAATAAAACAGAAAGAAGGAAAAACGATAAAAACTTAGAAGATGTTAGAAGATAAATATAGCTTAGTTTTATTTGTCAATACAGTATTCCTTTTATCTGGCTTACACCAACAAAAGGCTAGCACTATGAAACAGTTAAAGACCAAGGAAAGGAAGAGCATACACCCTCTCACATCTCCTACATAATTTTTCAGTAACCACCAACGTTCCTTGGCAGAAAGAGGCTCTGAAAAAAAATGCCCTGGCCCAGGTGCCACTACAGACCTTTTGATACTGACTCCAGTGTACAGCCTGCCACTATTTTGGTTGCCATGACAAGTGGAAAAAGTTTCAGCATTGGAAGTTGCTGCAAAAGTTATCACTTTGATAACTTGTGTTTGGTGGTCATGCAAACAAAGCTGTAATGTTTTTCTCACTTAGTTAAAGTGAGTTAATTTTATTTCATCCAACACTATCAACGTTTCCTCTTTTTCTTTAATAACAAACTGTGACTAAATACAACTTCTGGCAATTAGGTCACTAAATGCTTCTTTGAAAAACTTAAGTTTATTGCTCTGTTTATGTCATGAAAGGTGGAGCAATTCCAGTTTTTCAAATTAAACGAGGTTAAATATAATTTAGGCTAGGTATTAAAAACAAAAGAAATAGCACCAGCTGGCTTTAGGGTCACCTTTTAAGGTGGAATGCAGCTCAGTTGCTATGATGACCTCCTTGTTGCTGGGGAGAATGCTTCTCTCCTTTGTGGCTACTGTCACCTACACTCCACCACAATTTACTACACATTTAAAAAGACTTTGAAAGAACTTACTCATTTCTTCCTTCATGTCCATTTTTGAAGATTCCATTTCAAAGTTCTGCAGAGTTTGTTGTAATTGTGCTGGATTCATCTGGGCATTTACACTTCCCATGGCCTACAGAAACATATTACAATATGATAATCTGATTAAAAAGGATTGCCAGAGTAAAAGGACAGCATGATAAGTGATTATTCACCTAGTATGCCATTTTACTATATCAACTAAAGGCAACAGAACCCACAAAACATACACCTTAGAGCAGAGCAGCTCCCTGTCATTTTGAGCTGTTTAATTATCCTAGGGTGTAGGTACCCTCTAGTTTTTTGTAATTACAATTAATTATTATTTTCTGTTTAATACATTCTTAATTGTTGTTGAGCACATTTGAGTTGTTGTTGTTAAACAAAAACACAAACAAAATACTGAGCAACGAAATGGCCCCTGATTTTTTTTCCTGTTGTTTAGAACTTGGACTGTTTCACCAGCCAACACATCAGGGCTTTTGTTGGCCGTAGAGGACACTTAACTGATTTGGTTGTGTTGTTTTCATCTTTCCTGCACACCTTAAGCAATTGATACCATGCTAAGATAAAGCTGTTCAAAGTAACTTAAAAACTAGAAGCCAAAATACTAGAAATTGAAACAGTAATAAACTAATAAATCCTTAGTCATACCTTGGTTGCTGTAGACATGGCACCTGCCATTTTTGCTGATGCATGCATGGCTTGTGACTGGTGTCCAATGGCCATCACACGGGAACTTACAGTCATATTTTTAGTTTTCTGTTTTCGTAGATTAACCAGCTGCTTGGCAAGTGTTGTTGCAGCCTAAGTAAATGAATTTTCAACAGATAGATGTTAACTTTCCATTTGGATGAAAAAAACTGAATAATTCTCAGTTGAAGATAGTTAGAAAACACAAGTCAGATGGAATGGTAGACCTTAATTTAGACTTATCTTATGTTATAATTTATGAAGTTTGTTGTACTCCATGCTGCATGTAATAAAAGAAAGACTCTAGTAATAAATATTCTAAATGTTTGAGATTGGTTACATTTGTTTTGTGTTAGCACTGCAATTTCATGGACTAGTCACAGTTTGGTTAGGTTGGTCTTCATTTTAAAGCTGTGTTTTGTCTTGTGGTGGAAAGTACAATGAAGGCATCAAGGAAAAACCATTTTGTAATACTTCATATTTAAAATTTGTGTGAATGACATCAAACCTGTTTGTTTCCAAGTCTTGCCATTTTCTTGATCTCTGCTTCCTAAGAGCATAATAAAAGAAAATGAATGACTCTAAGAGATGAACTGATTGACTGATTGATTGGCTGATTGGAGGAACAAATGACAAATAGGGAATGAGTGAGTGAAAAATTGAATGAATGATCAACTGACTTGATGAATAAATGAATTATGGATAAATAAGACAGGGAGGCAGGGACCTAGCATTATGAGAAGTAATGATACAAAGATAGGGCATGAACTGATGTTTGCATAGGGATTCAACATCATCATCATCTTTAATTTCCTTATTTTAACAATACAAAAAAAATTATTTACAGCATTAATAGCTAGAAGGCCAGGAGACCCAATAAGCCACCGGGCTTATGAGAGGGCCACCTCACTTACAATTATAATAAATCAGGTGAAGAAAAAGTGCTGCGAATGTGCAGCTTGGCCAATTCAGTGATTATTTCAGTAAAAACTCTTGCATTTTTGTCTTAAAGCTAAAGAAGGTTTGATGAGCAAGTGACTGAAACAGAAAGAGAGTTCCAAATTTTAGGACCTTGGTAGAGAATTGTAAATTGCTTGAGATTTGTACAGCACAAATGTGTTTGATATTATTGGCTGTTCTGGTACCATTGTTGTGAATTTGGCTATTCGTTACAAAAAGATTGAGAAGCAATGGGGGCAATAGGTTATTTTTAAAACAAAACATAAATTTGGCAATTTCAAACATATTGACTTGTAAAATATTTAATTGATTTTAATCAATTATTTGTCTCACCAGTTGTTTTTCTTGCCTCTCAAGAGCACTTTGATCCCTGGCTAATTCCCTCTGTGTTCTGTTCAGCTGCCTTTTCTGTTGTCTCATTTGTTCTTTAATCAAAAATGATTTAAATCAATTATCAATAAAGATCTAGTTAATATACATAAACACATAAAAAATAGTGATATGAACCAGCATTTCGGAGTCTTCATGACGCCATTGTCAAGGTAAATGTTAGGGTAATGAATTCTGCAAGAATTAACAACTCCAATAAATTTACATGATAAAGAATGCAAGATTTAATAACAGAAATACTTTAACATGGATTGAGTCCAATTGCACATTCAGAGTTGCTTCTAGTTCTCTGATGAATAACATCTCATGCACTAAGCAATCAAATATATTTTTACTTTAAAACATAGAAGTGCCTCAGTAGGTCTTCAGAGACCATGCCATGTTTGTCTTGGTACTGTTTATATAAAGAAGATGACCATTGTTTATGTCCAACCACATGTACATGTAAGTGTACGTGCGTATAGCCCACATAACCTGCATCACACAAGTCACATTGAAAACAATAAAAAACACATTGTTGGTTTACAATCTGTGGCTTTTTCTCTTCCACTTTTAGGTGTTGGTTGATTTTACAGCTAACAAACATGGGTTGGACAGTTGTCTGTACTTGTAGGCTGAGGTCCTTGAGCTGTTTCTTGACATAATTTGCTGATTCTTGGTCCTTGATTGGTATGAACACCCGAACAATGGCCCTCTGTTCTTTTAGCACCTGTGAGGAGTGTTGGTCTGCTACTCTTGAATGAACAAAATTGTTGATGGTGGAATTAATCAGACATTTTGGGTATTTAAGTCTTGAAAAAAATTTCTTTAGGCAATCACACTCATCAGAGAAATATGTCCAAGAGGAAGATAATCAGTGTGTGTGATCAAGCATGGTTGTCCGTAAGCTTTGTTTGTAACAATTGTCTACATGGCTTTGATAGTGTAATAGTAGACCTGTTTTAGTTGGTTTTACATAAACCTTGCTTTTCACTCAGGCTGCATGGTTGAGTAGTTGAGTGCCAAGAAAAGGAAGCATGCTGTTCTTTCCTACCTCCACAGTGAATCTGATCAAAGTGTGGACATTGTTAAGAGTGCATAGGAAATCAGTTGCTGTTGGTACATCAAGAATTATGGTGAGTGTGTCATCAACATATCTGCAGTAGAATGAAGGGAGCTGCTAAAGGGTTCCATCATGCTAAAGGGTTTCTTCAGTAGAGGACATGAGAATTGGCAAATTATGTCAAGAAACAACTCAAGGACCTCAGCCTAAAAGTACAGACAGCTGTCCAACCCTTGTTCATTAGCCATAAAATCAACCAACACCTAAAAGTATCATGAACCAACAACACATTGTTTATCGTTTTTGATGTGACCTGTGTGGGCTATAGGCACACACACTTACACCTACATGTGAACAAACATAAACAATGGTCATCTTCTATACATAAACACTACCAAGACAAACATAGCAAGGTCCCTGAAGACCTACTGAGGTGCTACAACAGGGCATGAAATTGCGCCAAATACAGGCGCCATTGTGACTAAATTTTTCACTTTGGCGACCAAATCCTGAAAAGTAGTCGCCAAATTGGTAAGATTTGCAAAGATAAATCCATGGCAAACTTCCTTGTTAAGTTTGTTTCCAAAATGCAGCACATGCATCTCAGTCTAAAACTATTCACCATCTTGGATTTAGGTGAGCTTGAAATTTGTATATCATCCATCCTAGTGTCCACTTTGTAGAACTTTGTAGAACTTAATTTTGGAGGGTTTATCTAGAACTCTGATAGCGTAAAAAAGAAAGGGTTTTTTTTTTCTCTAAAAATGACAATCAATTTTTTTTAATTGGCTACCACTTTGAAAATTTAGGAGCCAAGTGGCTATCAGAAAAAAAATTAATTTCACATCCTGTTCAATGTTTTAAATAAATGCAAAAATAAATTTGGTTGCTTTGTGCACGAGATATTATTCATCAGAGAACTAACAGCAACTCTGAACATGCCATTTAACTCAATCTGTGTTAAAGAATTTCTGTAATTTAACCTTGCATTCTTTATCATGTAAACTTATTGCAGTTACCAATACTCGCAGAATTCATTATCCTAACATTAACCTTGACAATGGGGTCATGAAGACTCTGAAACGTCAGTTCACATCGCTATTTTTCAAGCGTTTGTAGATTTAAATCAAATGATACATTACTACTATACAGCAAGTTGGGAAGGCAACAATCAAAATTATTTTTCAGCATCAACACTTTTAGGATTCAATCAACCTCTAGTTCTCAACACTTATCAGGGCTTGTTTCATTTGCCAATAAGAAGCGGTAACCAGCTGTTGTATCTAACCAAACTTAACAGATGAATCACTTTTACGACGCAAACAGCAATTTTTCACGGGTAGCCCCTTTTAAATTTCACAATACCTCTCTCTTGCAGTCCACAGAAGTTATTTTATTTAAAATTCTTTATTCTTGAGTCAAAAGTCGTGATTAATTTAAATCTCACCTATGGTTGGTAACAGATGTAAAGAAATAATTATGCTAATAACGTAACTGAAAATATATGTATCTGACATTCAGCCGAACTGGCACGATTGGTCGAAATCATAGTTATACCTGAAAACTTTTGAGACCATCACCGTTAAAATAATAACATGGGAAATGATATACAGGCCATGCGTATGAAGCAAGAGCTCGCAAAAAGAAAGAAATTTTCTCAAAATGGTACCCTGTATTTATCAATATAGGTTATATTAGATCTTCTATCCTTTAACATGACAACCACAAGCAAATCATATACCCTACCTTTTGGATCAGGTTTTTTCCTAAACATTTTGGAGAGATGATGATATATTTCTGTGTCTACAAAAGGCCGGTATTCATTTGGCAACCTTTCTTAGTCGAGTTGACGTTACAGCATACTTCTCGTGACGAGTCCGTACGCCATGTCAGCTTCCAAAAATAACTCTTCCCCAGTTTTCCCTCCTCTAAAGAAAATAATCAGAGATTGACGTCATTAACTGAACTCAGGGATATTTTGAGTCACTTTTGAGCTGCTAGTGTTGATGCTGAGGAAAATTCATTATCATTTGTAAGTCTTCTTTATCGAAACGAGTTGCTCTGGAAACAAGAACTAGGACGTGCCAAAAGCGGGGCGGATAAGAGAAGAAACGAGAGGACACTAAGAATATGGTGGGGTCACTCCTTCTATAAAGCGATAGAACGTCGAATTGTTCTTGCCAGCTCAATCGTTTTCGCCGCAGATACAGTTTGAGTAATAAAATGAGATTTTGTGAGTGAATGCAATGATAATTCACGTCAAAATAAACTAAAAGTTTCCGCCTTTTTGTCTTATTAGGTCCCAGTTTATCGATCTGTGGACGCAGCCAAGGAAAAAAAGTATTGTTTACAGTGGTTGCTAAGCAAATTGAATTTCTAATTCAGTAGCACTATCAGAACAAAGGGAATAATAGGGGTTTCTGATTTGCATGTTAGTAAGTTAGATTTTCTAAATTTCCTCGCTTAGTTTACAAACAAGGTTCCGTTACTAAACCGTGAGCGCTTTTTGGAAAAGGACAAGAAGAAACTACACAAAACTTCGTAGTCTCAAAATGGGAGACGAACACCGTCCTTCAAGTCCACCACCGACATATGAAGAGGCCATAAATGATCGTCCACCGCCGCCATATTCAGAAAATCAGAACTCATTTGCGGTGGGATCAACACATAGGCAAGTTAGCTCGCATGCAGCAACGTGGGCGGATCACTCCAGAGTTTCACCAATGACCAGAAGCCCGAATAACGTCATAGTAATTCAACCAGGTCAGCGCGAGGGAAACAGTGAGAGAGAAAGACAATTTCCACGTGAATCACAGACAAGTGCTGTGATCACAACGCAGCCGCGCAAGAAGCGCTTGGGATGTAACTGTCTATGTTCGGCTTTACAGTGTACACCACGTACGTGTGATTGCGAAATATTTTGCTTCAATTGCTTGGGATTCTTATCATATCTACTCATTTGCGCTCCCGGAGTTTATTTATGCTGGGGGTGCAAAAAAACCTGCCCAGAAACTTTCGGCGATTGTTGCAATAGGGAAACTAGGTTCATGGAGAGCTACGACGATCGAGAAGATAGCATAGTCGCTCAAATTTGCTGGTATTGCTTTGGACCGTGTTGTTGTTTCACGTGTGCTGGAGACAGCGAGGTTTGCCCGCTTACCGATATGTGCGTAAACCGATATGGTGTCCGCTCAGTTTTGAAGAAAATGACGTGTTACTGCGGAAGTAACAAACTGTGTGATTACAATTTGAATTTCATGGACGAACAAGCGGTTGGTTTTATATGCGACTTTAGGGAAGTGGGATGTTTATGCACAGACGCTTCGTCAAACTAATAAACAAAAATGTGCGAGATTCCCTATTTAGCGAAAACAAACCTTTTTGCAAAATTAGCTCCTCAGTTTTCATAGAGTCCTCAGAAATTTTTTACGGTAAAAATGGACGGTTAAACACGACGTTTCTTCTAAAAAGCATGACGTTAGTCAACAGCTTGAATTGAAATAAATTTCATTTTTGTCGGCAGTATTGTCGCCACAATCAAGTAAGGATGAATTCTAAGTATTTTCAAGGACACTTTCATCCAAAAACAGGAAAGTTAGAGTTAAAAAAAAAGAAGTCAAGTCACTGTTTACAACTCTTTAGAATGTCACACAACGTCTACCCAAAATTTTGGCGTTGCGTGATATCCCAAAGAGCGGCTGCAAGGAGGCTACACTTTGTTTTTTTTTTTCTTTGATCTCCTTCGTTGCTCTCTTGTTTGTTCTTATAACGCAAACGTTATCTCCAGAGTGTGTTGCGTAACAGACCAAGCCAAATCAGAATTAAAAAGGGTGAAATTAAAAAACTCATAAAACATTTTTTTTCTTGTGTTATACCACTAGCTTTTCCTCCCACCCCTCCCCAAAAAGACCTAAGGCGACCGAGGGAGAACGGGCACTAAAATACGTACCGAAGTCGATTGCTTCAAGATGGCGGATCGCTGGGGTAGATTCTCTTATCCCCACGGGCCCAGTCCTACCGAAGAAAGTCTTAAAATGCAGGTAAAGGCTGTTATTAATATAGAAAAGTGTTCTTTATCAACTATTCCTATCTTGAGTGTCTTTAATAGCGCTTAGTTCTTCCAAAATGAAACACTTCGTAGGCAAAATATGCTGCCCAATACAAAGCGACGGGAAGGATATATGCACCCGAAGACTGCGCTGCCCTTTTGGTAAGTAAAATTTCTGTAAGATCTCTCTTTGGTGGCCTCAATTTGTTGAATAATGCTTCCTTTATTCGTAGCACCTTCATGATTTAACTTGTATTGCTTGATGATTATCATCAAACTGTCCGAAGCATCTAACAAAATGCTGGCGGTAACTTGTGAGAGTGTTCCAAAACATTTCATGCCACAGAAACTGAGAAAAGTATAGACAGCCATGCAATTCAATTTCATGTAAAGTATACACCCTTTTACGACGATGTCAATGCTGAAAATTCGTTGATCTGTCTTTACAGAAAGATCCAGCTATTGAAAAGTTTGGTTGGATCAGAGAAAACACCGACCGGTTCTTTAAGTTCAAGCCTCGAAGTGTGCGTAATGCAGTTATTTGGGCCCTGCTTATACCTGGTGCTATGCTTTATTTTATCAAGAAGACTCCGGTATGTCAGCTTTCCGTGTCAACATAACAGGATGTCTATTTAATCATCAAGGCAATATACTTGCTTCTACAGGACTTAAAATTATCATTGTTTTGGTTGCCATGTTAGAAATTTTTTTTTTTTGCGCTTGAATTTAAAACAAAAGTTGCAGAGTTAGCAGTATGACAGTCATTCAGCAAGTTGTGTTACTTCTATAACATGGAATTTATGATGCAAAATTAATTAAATTGACTTTCCATTGCAAGGAAGGAAAACAGATTCTACCCATTCTCCTTATAGTTATCCAAGGGCAATAATCTCCTATTTTCATGACCTTGCCCTGTGGACAAAGGTACTTATGCTGGAAATCACTACATCATGCGGACTAAACTCTATTTGCTAATTGATCACTTATTTACTATTGAAGGTATTGCTGGAGTATTACAGTACTTTTTTGTAATCATTAGTACTTCAAATTACAGATCAAATGATGTTTTAACCATTTCTTTTTTCATTGCAGTATCTTAAGCCTGAGCACTCTGTAACAACTCTCAATGAATGAGGGCATGCTTCTTCAATTGGGATCTCTTTATCAACACACCTTCTTTTCTTAATGTTGTCAGATCAAATATTGTTAATGTGATCATCTGGTGTAAATAAAGTTTACAAACAAACTGAATTGTTCATGTGTTTAGTTGCTGTCAGTGGCAATGCATTTGTGATTCAGCACAAGTTTCTAAACTTTGCCCTAGTCACCTATCCAAAACATGAAGCAAAAAAGAGGGACAACAGATATTTCATGTAAAACAGTTCCCATGGTAGAATTGAGAGAAGGTCTTCAAGAGAAAGGATCTTATGTACAAAATCTGTCAGAAAATCCTATGAAAATAGTCCTTTAATTTAGTTGGCCAAAGTACAGAACCAGTGATGCACTCTCTTTAGGTCTGCCCTGTTTCCTATTCTTTCTTGACATACTTACAAGTTTTTTTCTTGAAAAAGCCAGCAAAGTGGGGGTTTTTGAGTTCCCAATGAAGATGTAGGTATAAAAGCTGAACTCATGATCTAACAGCTATGAGTCAATGAACTTTTCTTTAAAATATGTATTTTTTTCAATGGGAAATATTCTCTTCTAATTAGTTAATGATCACAGTAAAAACTGTATGTCTCGAACTCAACGAAATTTCCTTATCAATTCAGTCTTCCTTATATGCATATAATTTCTACCCACCCCTCCCTTACATACTTTAAATGACGCTAAAAAGTTGACAAGTTGAAGATGCGAGAAGCTGGGTCGAGTAATACCCAGCTATCTTTGCGAAATACGAATGTGAGTGATTTGGTTGTTGCCAAGATAATCGCTGAAGTTGCTCGGTTTGGAGGCTACAAATAACGGGTTTAATTCCCTTTTGAAATGAATATAAAAATTCAATGAACCGTACGATGGCGGAGTCATCATACTTGCAGCCTTTTGCGGATCTCATGAGGATGTAGCATGTTAAAAGGCGCTTATTCGTATCCTTTTGGGTGATCGACAGTCGACTGCATACGAATTTTGTTTAGCTTTTTTGTTAAGGAAAATAATAACATGGGTTTGATTGATTCCTTCCTCCTCTTTCGAAGTTTTCTGAATAGATAATACAGAGGCGGGAAAATTACGATTTTATTCCTTGTTCCTTTTACAGTTGTGAGATAAAGTTCACATGTAACATTTGCACTGAGATCTAATGTTTAAGCTGATTTGTTACCACTCTATAAATCGGCTTCTTTGCGTCTTTCAGAGATGAATTGAAATTATGGCATTGGTATATATTGTAAGGGTAGTTTTTAATCTAATTAGATACTCGTAGCTTTCAAACGCATAGTTGACCTATTAGCGTACCTTCGGTGTCAGCAGACCTTTGCCTATCGTACATAATTAAACCTGTAAATTCATTCTGTCAACATACGAGGAAAAATATGTAGTGAGGGGCAAATCGTCTGGGAAAGAAAAGTTCCTTTTTCACCTACATATGCTTGACCAAAAACAACGCAGCTCTTATTTCAAACAGTAATTATTGTCACTCTTTTTCCCTTGAAGGTAAAATTAAAACAGAAAGCTTGTAATCAAACAGTTGCTATTTTTACAGTTTTTGATGTATACAAAGTGCTCTCTCTGTCTGAATTTCTCTGAAGGTAGGAATTAGGAGGAATTTAGAGATTGAGATGCTCATTAACAACTTTTCACATGAAACTCTGTGAATGGTTAAGCAATTTTTCTTTTTAAGTTTAACAAACAGGAAAGCACGTAGTGCAAAAATGCGTTCCACAGTGGATTCTAATAGTGACACTTTGTAATCAGAGGACTCTGCGACATTTTGTGTGATTTTCTGTTGTATCATTTTAGATCACAAGTCTGCTTTGTTTGCATTGACTGATACAGATAATTATTCATCAAAATGTTCATCACTCATTAACAATTAATAGCTTAAGATGATGATCTTTTGTGTTCATCACCACAGCCACACTGTTATTGGTTTTAATAACTAAAAATCACAACTCAAAGATTTGTAGTATTCTGTTAAGCAGTTATTTGGTACTACACTGTAAGTCTTATTTCTGTGGCTTTCAAGCACCAATTCCACTTTTGTTGCATTGATTTGATTTTCTTGTTCCACTACAGCAAATTGAAAATGCTGTACTACTGGTTAGTATAATTATAATAATAACATATTAGGTTACCAAGCTTTCAGACACACAACATTTGATATTTAGTCTGATGATAAGGTCATTTTGTAATAAGTTGGTTAACATGTATGCGTTTAAGTCTAACTTTTGTGTGCGCGTATTTTATTTTATAAGACAACAATCTTTGTATTATGTAGAAAAACTGCTGTAACTTTGTCCTATTTTAAATTACGGTACTAATTTTGCCAAACAGTGCCCAAGGATTGAGCATTTTTTAACAAAATTAACATTGCAACTTATTAAGAACTTCTCTCAAGATCTAATTTTTTATTTTGTAATTTTGAACTGGAAAAAAATTGTGTGAAATGAATAGGGATACATCAAAGGAAATGTGACATAATTATTGTACTTTACAATTGTTACACTTTGTTTTCACTCTTAATTCTTCCAATCATGAAAAAAATGAATGAGGAATATAGGTTGGAACTGTTTCGATTTTTCTTGACCTTATAATGAATGATCAAGGAAGAATTTCTTTAACACTTTTTATTACTCATAGACTTTATACAATTAGGAGAACAACAATTGTCAGTAGTTTCATTTAATATTTATATGTAGTGGTGTTTTTGCATGGCATGTTTTCTTTGACAATTGTGTAGTGACAAATTTAAAAGCATCCAGAAAGAGCGATTGGAAAAATTTAAAGAAGAACAAAAGGATTCTTTGAAATCAAGAAGTGACAGGGCCAAGGAGCTTTCAAAGGAAACCAATCGTAGGAGAAAGTAAGAAGACTTGAAGTATATTCTCAAGGGTTGTTGGTGGAACAAATTAATTTATTTACAATACTGACAATATTGCATCACTCACTAGATAGTACTGTGACTACAGGGTGAAATGTCATCAGTGTTACTGCAATTATTTCACTAAAAATACTGCATTAAGTTTAGATAATAAGAACTATAGAGAATATTCACAGTGATGTTAGATTGTTAAGGATTATTGAAGATGTAGTTTTTTTACATGACTTAAATCTCACAAGTACACCATCACCATGTTTTGGTGTGACCTTTTTGTGTTGAAGCTCATGCTTTCCTTCATGTTTTCATTTTGAAAAACAAAGCGTTCTTAATGGTTTATGATAAAAATAGATAAATGTGTCACTGAAGGGTGTTCTGATTGGAGCATAAAAGTTTTTAGGGCATGTTGTTAAATGATGAATATGAATTCTCCATAGAGCTCTTGAGGATAGGAAAAAGGAACTGCAAAACCATGAGGAACAATTAAGAGACAAAGTCTTGTCAAAGAGGAAACAGGATCAGCAAGAGGCAACACAGAGATTCCAAAAGGACTCTTTACAAAAGAAGGCACTAAAACAACATGATCTTGTGAATGGACCTAATACAGGTACACCTAGCAATAGAAGTTTAATGTAACTGATTACTTATAGAGTGAGAAAGACATTCCAGAAGTCTTGGTAGGTTCTGGGAATCCTGTTGTGGGTCATAAATTTGTTTCTAGTCCCTTGTTTTGGGTTACCACCAATTGCAGTCACAAGAGGATTGGAAAGAAGAGGAGAGGCTCTGAACTCTTGTTACAGGTGCTCGTATAACCCTTTTACCTCTAAAGTGACTAAATTTAATTTCTTCTTCCAAAGAAGCTTTGAAGAAGCTCCTGGTTGTCAAGCGAGTTCTCTTGTCAGCACCTTAAGAGATGTATAGAGAACAGTATGGAGAATATGCATACTGATGTTAGGGTACAAAGGGTGAATGATAACTAAACCCAAAGTCCTTATAGGGTGATGTCAATTCATGTACCTGTATTAGTCACTGTTATATCTTAGCTGTAATATTTTTTCATCAGAGCCAGTTTCGGTAGTTCGTGATGGTTACCATGTTGTCCGGGGCCACTTGGTAGAAGTGAAGGATGGAAAGCAAGTGCCACATAGTGCTTCAGTAGGATCAAAAAGACTTCAAGAAGATGGATTAGGAGTTTGGGGAAATGAAATGCCAGACAATTACGATTTTGAAAGGACATACAAAGATTTTTCATACAATAATGCAAATAGTGGAATCCTGTATGCAATGAATGAAGATAAGCTGTATTCAACAGAGCCAGTGTTTGATACTTACGCAGTACAGCCGCTATATTATGCAACTGATGGAACGGAAAATGGGCCTGTTAATGATTCATGGACATTAGCACAACAAGAAAAGTTTCGAGCTGATGCCATCGCCAAAAGTGGACCGAAGCTGGCTTTTATCAAGGACGAATCTCAAAGGGACACTCCTGAAGGGGCTTTGCCGTGTATCATGGGCAGGGACTCACCAGCAGGGAGCCTCACTAGCTTAGATAGCTTAGACGAGGTTCCTCAGGTTGCAGGGTCTGGAACAGGGAGGGAATTGGGAGCCTCTACTAGGACCAGTATAATGGCCAAAAGAAATAAAGAAGTCAAATCTGCTGGTAAGAGAAGAGTCACTTTTTCTGATAGCATTGAATTTGATGATGGTGTTACTGGTCAGCTTGTTACAGAGGAGAAGCAAAGTACCAAAGTATACACCATGTTGTATGCTAGAAATTCCAACAATTTTTACAACACGTCGGTATCAAATTCTTCATCATCAACCGGACATTCGAGCATAAACCACAAGGGACACAAGCCGTCAGGAACGCATGTAACATCTGTGTCTGAAAAGCGAACAGAACAAAATCCCATTAGTTCAGCTCCCACTTTCATCAAAACCTTCGGGAAGGATTCCTCTGGGGTAGCTACCTCTGGTAGAGACTCGTCTGTGGCAACTGTTACTCACTGTGACCACCCAAGACCTAAACCAGTGCCTGTGGAAACTCAAGCAAATACACCCGAGAAAATGCAGGTTCAAGTTTCTTCCATTCACGAAGTGAATAGTTTAAAAGACTTAGGGGAACCCAGTCATTTAGGTGATGCTGTGAGTGATTCAGAGCTAAACGACAGTCTGGAGGTTGTTAATGATAGCTTAGATGTTGAAACTGATCGAGTAGAGAATGTACCTGGACTGAAAGATGAAGAAGACAAAACATACCCAGTAAGCAGTTCAGGAAACTGGACTTCTTCTTTCTCGACATCGATGGTGAAAGATTCTTTACAAAGGTTCGTGGGAAGCACAGCGGAAATCCCCCCTGAATCCCCCCCTGAAGAATATACTGAAAAGTTTCCGTCCAACGAGAATCGTGTGGCAGAGGAGTTACCTGTTCAATCGGAGCCAGTGCATGTAACCGCGTCACCAGTTGTCACATCGGAACATCAGTATCACAGTCCATTCTACAACACTGCAGTTTCTTCTATAACAACTTATCCCTACTACCACCGTCTTAACCCACAGGTTGCCAGTGGTGTGCAATTTCCTGCCCAAGGAACATTCCATCCCAGTTTCCCTTACCCTTTTTATACCACTGCAGGCTCTACGTTAATGGGAGAACCCGAGCAGCATGGAATCGAAAATACACCTGCTCCAATAACTTCGTACAGAACTACAACAAACTTTGGTAATGTTCAACAGGCTCTCAACTCAAGTGACCATCAGAGGAGATCTGCTTCGGAACCCGTTGTTCCTTCATCAACAGTTACTCACGCAGCAAACATGGGCCATGCAGTTAGCAGTCAAACCTCTGAGACCCCGAAAAGGCCTCCTAGCACTCAGTCGGTTGTAAACAGCAACGAAGCAGATAAAATGTCATTGTCCCCCAACAAGCTCTCATCGTCACCTTCATCCACAGCATCAACATACTCTTCGGGTGTTAAATCTACTAGATCTTTTATTCCTCGGCCTCCTTCCACGAAGAAATCTGGCAGAAGTAGACTTCATCCAGGTGGTCTTCACAGAAAGGAAGCTTCTACTCGTCCACGGAAGGGAATCAATAACCACACTGTTGTCTCAGATAGGAGTCAAGCTGGACGGAGTTTGAAGGCAAGTGCGAATCACAGGAATAGCCCAGAAGAAAGGGCAACTGAACAGCAAAACTTGGGAACCAAAAGATCAGAGAGTAAGAATGGAAAAGAGAAGGCCCATTTCAAACACCCAAATAACAGCGATAAACACAACGCTTCCGATCAGGACGGTATCATGGAGAGCATTAAACGTAACATGGAGATGATGAATATCAGAACGAGGACTACAGCTGCTCAAGAACAGCACCAACGAATTCTTAATTCGCTGAGGGTGGAGTTTGGTGGTGGCAGGAAGGTGCAGCAGGAGTCTGTGCACTATGGTATGGAGGCTCATGAGGATTTGATGAATGCAGTTAAGCATCACGCCAACACACAGGATGCAACCAGTCGAAAAATTCACCATCCTCGAGTGGGATCCGCTGGATCACGAAATGGTGCAAGACCTTCAGCTGGTGCAAGCGTCAAGCTGGATCTTGTTGATGATGCTAGTCACCCAGCAGGTTTTGATGGGTATCCCAACAGAGGTAAAGCAGATATGAAGAAGACCGCGCCTTTCCAAACAGTATCCAGCGAGGCAACGAAAGGAATGGTACGGAAGTCTTCGTCTGACTCGGTAACGAATCATCAGTTCACTAACGAAGACAGACGGTTTGAATATCATGTGTCAACAGTCGGTCAGCCAACAAGTACAATTATAACAAGCCAAGAACGCGAAGGTCCATTGCAGGCGAGAACTAGCACACGTTATGAACAAGATGACATGAGCATGAAGAGGTCTGTATCACTGGATAAGACACCCACGGATGAAGAAATCAATCACCTCTGGGCCCATGTTCGGTCGTACCTCCACGGTGGGAATACTAAGTCCGTCGGCTCAGACTCGTGTGTCAACAAAGTTGACGTACGGCGTTCCCGTACTCGCTCCAGCTCGACGCGGCAAGTCCACAATCCACCAGCTGTCCCACAGCATAATCAAGGAGGCAGCAGACAGCCAAATGGTCAACACCTCGGGGTCCCTCCGCAGACTGGGGGCAGTACACTGGGAGGTCTTCGGCGCTACGGCTCTCATGAGGTTCTTAGGAGGGACAGCTCTTCTGACAGTCTGTCGTTGAAGAGGTCACCGCTGTTGCAACATCGTGCTTCAAGAGGCAGACGCCCACAGATCCACGTTCATGGCCAAAATGGCCGACCACCATTGCCGAGACCGTACGAGTATAATCCGTCGCCAAGCCAGGCGGGTCCTACAGCTTCAATCTCATGTAGAGGTATTGGTATTAAAGTTCTAAGTGGATGCTTTTGCTTTCTCTCTCTCTCTCTTTCTCTCTTTCATTTGCTTGTAGTATGGCTAAAGGGAATTCGATAATCTCTCAAGGGTCAGTGGGTGCATGAGAGCCACTGCTATTCGGACTGCGGAAGGGTGAGAACTCCAGCTCCAAAACACCTTGACCTGATTTGTTTCATTGCGTGTTTCTTTGTAGTTCCTGGTCCGCAACCATTATCGCCGGCTGAGATGCAAGCTGTTATGATGGCGTCTGAGAAAGAAATGTTTAACAATCATCAACAAAATGCCTTCGCCGATAGTTCTCCACATCAGCAGTATCAAGCAATGATGAACGGCTTAACAGGTCAGTTCCTGGTCCGTCTGCTTGAATGTTTCGTGATAAGATTTTTCTTTGGCTCTGACCAACTCTCGAAATGGCTCTGTACTGTAAAAATGCTAATTGGTGTTAATAGCTGTCATGCTCTTTCAAAACTGAAGAATTGACATTTCTATGATATTCAATAGCTGTAATTTTGCGCTTTTTTCCTTCGTGTTTTATGTAGGTCCTAGTGCTCTTTCATTGGAGGAACAAAGGTTGTTGCAGTCTTTGGATCGATTAAATGAAAGGCTTAAAGGTATCAGAACTATTCACTTCGTGCCTTTATGTACTTCTGTGTGCTACAAGTCGTTTCGCTTTGATTAGAAATAAAGGGAGTAAGTTTCTAGAGAAACTGTGGTGCTGCTTCGGTGGGAGAGTATCACAGAGTAATTTAGTATTATCAACTGAGTTGATAACGTGAATTGGTCACGGTAAAGAGTTTCAAAGCTGACGTTTCGAGCGTTAGCCCTTCATCAGGGTGAAAGGTTAACGTCATATGCTCTGACGACGGGCTAACACTCGAAACGTCAGCTTTGAAACTCTTCACGGTGGCTTATTTACGTTATCAACTCAGTTGATAATACTAAATTACCTACCTTTGATTAGAATGTTTGGTTGATGACATCTTTGCGTTCTAGTCAAGGTTTCACATAGCGCCTATTTCCTCTGTTAGACTGTACCAGTAACTCTACCAGTGATGTTAACACTACTAAAGACCTCTTCCTTGACCGTAAAGGAGGCATATCATGATATTTCGCGTTGTTTATCCCTAAAAATACTATGCTTATCTTGCATGAAGTAGTCCAGAACATAACAACGTGTAAACAACAAAAACAACAAAATATAAATGGTTAGATATAATTTATGAAGTATAAGAATGGTAGGTGGTCGTAAAATACAAAAAAATACTACAGAGGAGAAGGAAAAAACGTAGAAGGAATAGGGTTAAAATGAGATCAGGAAGATTTAAACGGGTGCAAATCAATAACTTGAAAAATTGAAATAAAATGTCACAATATCAGGGCTGTGATTTAGCGTTCTCATCTTACTCCTTAAAATGTTGTGATTCAAATTTGACCTTTAATTTATTTGATTTATGTAAAGCTCAAGAAGAAGTCACAAAAGCCATTACTCAGAAACCCAGGATGAACGACAGTGGTTTTCGAAGGCCACAACAGGTATCTCATTAACTGGTCATGCAAAAAAAAAAGTGCTGGCTCTTTTCGGCCAAAATCGTGGGGCTTTCTTTATCGCGTAGTTTCAAGAAGAGCTATGTCCTTTACTGAGAAATAGAGTCGGTCATGAGCACCAATAGAATTGGAATGGAGACTTCGAGTAGAATTTTGATTATACATGAAAACTGGCGTTAGTTACTGTTACATAAGTCAGCTCCTCAGTGAGTTGCATTTGGTTCAGTTCATAAATCATCTGACTGCGAAATCGGATCTAGTGATTGTCTAGTTATTGAAGACTCAGATTTCTTTGGTCTGATTCTCTTGTAGTTTCGATTTCTGCTTTTTTCTCGAGTTCGCTCTGTGATCCTCCTTTGGATGTGAGCACGTCACTAACGTTTTACCAGATTGTTGCACATCGCTAGTCAGCATGGACTTCATGAATATTTCCTTCCATAGACTGTCATTGTGAAACACATTTCTATTCTACCTTTATTTATCATCGTCAATCAATTTTTTTCAGAGTGCTCCTAGTTCAGGGATAAGAGGAACAGGGACTAAACAGAATTCTTCAGCCAGAAACTTCCTACATACGAGATGATATACAGAGAAACCTAGTTAGTCTCGTGAATCACGGCCCATTTGATAAGTCGCGAAGGAAGATAACATTCCAATACGGAGGGGGCCACAGATCGCACGAAATGAAACAGGGTGGAAGAACCTTTATTAAATAATTACCACTCTTCCCCCCCCCCTCCTCTCTCCCCTCTTCCACGTCAGCCCTAGTTACCTTACATTCTCTCAGGACCCCCTTCATAGTGGTGGGCATGATTTGTTATTCCTTTAAGTGAATGCAAAGAAGCATAAGACTGAAAATTCTATCTGTTTAAACATGTTTTCTTGGCTAGAAAGGCTAAGTTACATGCATATAAAAGAAGGGTAATTCGACCCGCCATTTATGATAGAAGTCTGTACACATAAAGGATGTAAGAAAAAAAACGCTACCTTTGTTCATTCAGTGCTGTTAGCAACAGATCCTTTTTCATTCGTCCTCCTTGGTTTTCAAAGGAGATGTGGTGTAATCAGTCAAGAAGTATTTCTTTTCTCATCATGAGCGCTTTCTACCAGAGATGGCTTTTTCGTATTATTTCACGCATTGTACAAATTGTATAGCGACTAAAAACTCCAAAGTGAGTTATTTATTATTGTACAGCGAAATGTTACTAGGTGACAAGTAACCGTTGTGGAGTAGATTGTAGGAAGGGTGGTGTGGTGTGTGTAGAAGAGCTTGCTGTAGAAATATAAATCTAGAATAAAACGGGTGATTATTACAATTATCTTTCTAATGGTACACTGTTGAAGTTTGTTGACTATCGAGAAATTGTTCCGTGAACGTAAAACGTGAACAATAAGAGCCTTGTTTCGGATGATGTTTTCCAAACGTTTGGGCTTCAGGTTCGAAGACTGAGGTGCAAGTTAAAAAACGCGACGGATTAACAAAATTGTAAAGTTGACTGAGCAGATGAGGGACTGGTGCGGAGCTTAACGATTAAACGCTTCACTCGCATAAAATCATCATGATGATTAAAAGCTTAAAGAGTAAGGAATTCCCATAGGGGAATAACTAATTTTAAATTCAAGTTTGCCCAAATCAAGATAACTGCAGCCGTTCATGAAATTTGTTTGCTTCTTCGTGTTAAAAAGTTCTGCAAAGATGCACATGGAGGAAGCAGCGAACCTTCTCTCCGCTCTTCAGGAAACGTTAACCGACATTGACACAGTCGTAACAAACGTGAACGAACACTGCAGCCGAACCATTCTTAATATTGAAACTGCGGCGCAAAGACTCTGGCAAGCCATTGCAGATCACCGACACAAGTTGGTGTCGAAGGTTTGCGAAATCACTGAAGCAAAATTACACGCGTTGCAAGCCGAAAAGGATATCGTACAGGAGAATTTCAGAGCTCTAGAGCATGTGCTCCGCTGCGCCCAGAATACTGGAACAGTCGAGGATTCGACTGAATGGGACAACGCTTTGTCAAGGCATCTTCATGATCTAAAAGAATTGGTGTTTGATTTCCAGGATTACGACGAAGAAATGGAATTCCATTTTTTGTACCGTGATGAAAATCTCTTGGCGGCAATTTGCAACTTCGGAGATGTTTTCACACTTGCAAATGACGGAGACTCTAAAATAGCAAGTCGTGATGTAAAGGCTGCTAGACTGGGTAAAAACATAACCAGTCTGACAGAGGAGGAGGAAAAATTGGACGGCAAAACTGAATTCCAACACACTACCGACAGAGTCACTTTACTACAAGAATTCCAGGAGAACTTCAAAAGCCCAGACCACACGACAGAAACCCAAGAGGCCGATTTAAAAAGAACAGTGCTGACCAAAGTTTTCGAAGAAACAGTGGATGTTGTTCAATTGATCGAGATAAAGGGCGAAAGCCAGGAGCTACGCTGCGAAGACGACTTAGCATCAACTTTGGAACTGGTTGACGGAGGGATTAGTGATTCGAGTGCGAGAGACATCACCTGCAACGAAATTGAACAAACTACAGTTCTTAGGCAAAACTGGTCGGATGTTTTCACTCCTTTCGAACAACTTGTCTCCACTAATGAAGAGGTCGAGGTCTCGGCTTTTACTGTGAAGGAGACATCGAGCGCCGAACTCGAAAAGAAAGATGTAAACAATAATAACAAAATCGTCGTCGATAGGAGTGTTGTGACATTACAGGAAGACAGTTTTTCAGCATAGATCGTGTTTGTGAGAAACGAAATGAGAATTGAAAGCCGAGTAAACGAGATACTTGCTTGTGGGGATGAATACTAATGAAGATTGTTATTCTAGTGTGTTATGTTTTGTTATTCTAGTGATGCAATAATGATTTGATGACTTCAGTTAATCTCTGAAAAACAAACGAATAAACTACAAAGGAGTGCCGAGGTGGCTTTTTCTCTTTCACTGTTTCCAGGTCGAATTGCAAGTTGGAATGTTGGTTTCTATTCAAACAAGGAAGCAAGTAGTTCTAAGTAGTTAAAGTTATCCCCAAACGTTAAGCATATTCTTTCTCTGTCTATCTTACGCTATGACCGTTCTTCGAAGCTTAAAACCGTTCTTTAAAGTTAAAAAAAACCCGCAATAAATTTAACGCCCATAACGACAGCTACTTCAAGCACCTTTAAAGCATTTTTATTCTATAAATTACCAGTCACATTAAAACATACCTTGTCCTACAGTTACTTCGACGTAATGGAAGTGCGGAAATGCGATCAGTTACAACACATTGGGCAAGCAGGTCGCTATAAGGCGGTTTCAAAACACCTCTACGTTGATTGTCTCTCGCGAATACCGAAGATCACAAAACAAGAATATTTTCCTATTCCCTCTACCATCTTTTTGTCAGCTAACTCTTCCGGAGGGCTGTTTGAAAACGAAGGTTCTCAAGATATGCAAACTCCAGAAATAATAATAAAAATTATTTTCTAGCCAAGAACTTTCATTAACCCTACTTGATTGCAAAAAAATAAATAATAAATAACTTTGGAATCGGTATCTAAAGATTACTTGTAAGGAACTACTGGAAACAATGAAGAGTCCTCTCCCATGTTTGGTTCGACTTCAAAACCAATACTATTAGCGCAAAAAGCCTTAATGTGTATGTTGCAGAGTAAGTATCTCTTTTCATTCTGAGCTGCCATTCTGAAACCGGCCAGCCAACGGCGGGGTCTTGGGAAGAAGTGACGAGAAGGTCGTTCTCCTCAGTCCCGCTTATTCTTTATCGTCGCTAGCCCCAGTTTTCGCTCGTCCCTACATATCTTATGCCAAGATGCTATGTTTTCTTAAAAAGAAGGGACCCTTCACCAAAATGGCGACCAAAATTTGAAATTTATCACCAAGAAAAATAACCCTCGCAGTAAGAAGGACAGAGTCCGAACAGTATGCACGGTAAATTTTCCGAGTCAAACCAACCCATATCATCTGAATAATAACTGTTTGAAATTGATCGTAGATGAAGACCCCTAAACGACTGGTGGTATAAAATCTGCATGTACCTTTGCACCTTGCCCAATAAGTTGTAACTAATCACATTTTCGCACTTTGCACTGAATAAAGAGTGGCTCTATAGTTAGGAACTTAAGTTCCTGTTCTCTCTCGTACCACAGCCTGAAGTGCCCAGCGATCTCGGAAGAGCCTGTAGAGAATCAGGTAATTAAACGTCAGGAGCCCAGTGACCGAGAGAAGCTGGTGCCAAGAGTGGGACCTTGTTATCATAAACAGCTGATATAAGACAAGTAACAACAGAACTGCTGCCATCCAGTTGACGAGTCGCAAGGGAGATTCGAACATGAACTACAAAACAAAGTTACTGCGCGTCAGTATCGATAGCAAATAAGCTCGCTAATAAATTTTCACCAGAAGCCATACAGTTATTATTTCCGTCAGCAAAAAGTACACATGAAATACCCAGTAAACAGGCTTCGGTTGAAAGGGTTGGGAAGGACCTGACGTCGACTGAGGGGGTGGGGGTGGGAAATGGTGAGCCCCCCCCCAGCTCTTTTCTTCCCGCGTGGGTGGGGAAGTGGTGGGTGATGCAATGTCTTCGGTTACCCTTTTTTCGGCAACAAGTTGTTTTAAGGGGGTGGGTCAGGGAATTCAACCTACTGAGAAACTGCTTTTGGATCCATTCCGTAAACAAAGAGCAATAATGTAAACGTATCAACCAGCACCGCTAAATGACGCTGATCTACAGTTCTACGGATGGGAACAGTCTTAACATAGAATTGCCCATTTCAAAAGAAAATCCAAAGGCAGAATGAAATAAAGCCAGGCAAGCAAGCCAGCAACTTGCTGAATAATTCTTAGTGTTAAAATACTTACGAAAAATCTTCCATGATGCGCGTCCCCTGGGATTGCAACATTGTGAATACCGAGCGCTCTGTATAGAAGTTTACCATGCCGCACCAGGACCCCCTGAGGCCATACCGTTAATGCTGACCATCTAGGGGTAGTGACAAAAGATACCGATTATCATGTCAGCGATTAATATGTTAATTAATAAAGTCGTGGACTAACGGAAAGAAGTACATAAAGCTTAAAATTAGCTTCTTGTTGATTTTCTTATTTACTCGTTCTGATTTGAACTTACCGAAAGTCCATCAGGTTACAAACCGCACTTTTAAAAGAGCTGCTGCGGAGGTCATCGGATTAAAATGACCAACACATCTTAATATAAATATACAACTTACACATGTGGAGTGTCGCGGTGACCGCAGGGATATCTCTCCCATCCGCCAAGATGCAATGCACACTTATGTAAAGCGTCACAATAATTCAGCGGTAACATGTACATCATTAACATTAGCAAACAGCTCAGCCAAACGAAAAGCGTGTGCTGACAAGCCCACCACATGTCGTAATACACATAATGTTGCTGTGAAAAGATCAAGAACTTATATAAATATATCAAGAAAGATGGCAAATTTTAGAAGGCAGTCGTCAAATGGATAGTTTTTTTCCCTTTTTCTTGAACGTAAAGAAAACAATCTGAGTCCCCGTAGGAGCAATCAAGCCGCAGACCTCCGGATTTCCCGGTTCCATCCTCCAGTACTGAGATGCACAGACCTCGCAGATAAGCAGGCCATATTCAAGGTATACATGTGACAAACGTTCTGCGTACTACTAAAATGACGCCGTTGTCAACTCCAAAGCATATTTCAAACTTCAACAAGTACCTACTCTTTCGGACAAATGAAGGATTTGCAAAGGACAGAAATCATATACCGGTAGCCAGTTTTTCTAAGGGCCGATAACTCGATCCAACAGATAAATTGCTAACGGAATAAGTGTAAACAAAACGTACCACGCTATCCACCGGACAGAGATTTATCCATCGGATAGCGTTATTTACCCTTCGAACAACCTTGAAGAGGTTTGCAGAATAATTAGATAAAACACATAACAATATTCAACTCGTCACTGACCATCACGGAGTCAAGTTATAATCCTCACCTCTGAGAACTTCATCGGAATAAACCCAACATAGTAAGCGCAAATGAGTGACTGAAAGAGAACCTGTTTGATCCGAAGATTAAAATCGGTTCTCAGGCATTCTGTTTCGTATCGCACTGCATCCGGTGGCAGTGAACATGGTTGAGGAGCTGGTAGTTCCTGTTTAGAATTTCCGTTCACCATTACACCTTTAGCGTCCAGTAGGCTGCTCTGTAGTAGCTGTAGCTGTGATAATGGGCCTAGCTCTTGGTGTGGACTCAGTTTAAGCATTACTTTATTTCCCTGGGGATCCAGGGTGAAGCCAAACGTAATTATGTACATCACTGACCTGGAGAACAAGAAAATCTCTATCATTAAACACTTAATGACTTTTCCGGAGAAAATAGTTTGGTTCATCCGATGAAAATAATTGATGGAAAGTTATGTTTGCATAAAGGAAACAGCTCTAACACAAAAACAAAAAACGCACAGAAAGCTTCCACATTGTGCACAATTTCAATCTTCATTACCAAGAAGACAATAGTCATTTCATACAAAAACAACCCTTAATCAGAGAGATATTCAAGGAAGTTCTCTTAATCACTTGTAGAAAGGAAAATTACTCAAAGATATGCTTATCACTACATAAATTTCATCCAAAACAAAGACATGAACATGATATAGTTATAATACTCACGGGTAGCAGAGAAAAAGGCAATTTTGTATACTGTTTTGCTGAATAATTCTCCATGACAACCATACAAAGCTTGACACAAGTGATAGAAGAGCCACGCCCTTCAGGAAGAGGTTAACAAAACACTTGACAGTGTATAGTAGTTCTGAGGCTAGTGTCTGTAAAAGTAAAAAATAAATAAACAAAAATCAGGGATATAGAATGGATTTTCCAATGGGGGTTCCAAGACTAAAGTTTTATGGGTATTAAAACACACACTGATTTGAAGGAAGGGGTTCACATCAATCCAATGATGCTCGTCACTCTTAGGGGGTCAAGGTATTTACCACTAAGAGTGACTAGCATCTAATCCCTCCTAACAGTACCATCACAGAACCAAACATTAAAGTCACAAGAATATGAATATAAATATGGACACAACCCCCAACCATTGATATTCTTGATGGTTAAACAAATTCTCCTTGTCAACGACAAAGGAAATATACAGAGAACAGTATGGAGAATATGCATACTGACATTAAGGTGTAAAAGGTTAGAGAGGGGAAGAGTGTTATTTTGCTTCAGCTCAATTGGAGGTTAAAATTTGAAGGGAAAAGTTTTAAGCAATAAATTCAGGTCAAAAATGGTTGATTTAAAGCCCAACAGGCTACTAGTCAACCTCACTCATAAGAAACACTGGTTGACCCTTTAACCCCTGAGAGTGACAAGCATCTAATTTCTCCTTACAATATCAACACTGAATCACACATAAATGTCATGAGAATAAAGGCAACTATCACCAACTAAAAAAGCTCCTGATCATTAGACAAATTCTCCTTGTCAGCACATTAGTAAATGTATAGAGAGTACTGTACTGCAGAGTTTGAAAAGAATTACTAGTTCCTAAGAAGGTTGTTGTGCTATATCAGTGCACAGGCAAAAGACATAGTTGAGAAAGACTTGGACGTAACATGGAGCTTATGCAAAAGTAACAAAAACATCAGTGGGAAGTTTTTTTTTTTCCCCAAAGCCTCCCAACCCCTTGATCCCTAAGAGTGACTACCAACTAATTTCCCCTAACAATATCACCCCTGAATCAAACATTACAGTCACACCAGGAAAGGAAAAGGAGGAAAAGTTTTCAGCAATAAATTTAGGTCAAAAATGGTTGATTTAAAGCCCAGCAGGCTACTAATCAACCTCACTCATCAGAAACATTGGTGGACCCTTTAACCCCTAAGAGTGACAAGCATCTAATTTCTCCTTACAATATCAACACTGAATCACACATAAATGTCATGAGAATAAAGGCAACTATCACCAACTAAAGAAGCTCTTAGTCATTAAACAAATTCTCCTTGTCAGTACCTGAAGAAATGTATAGAGAACAGAATAGAGAGTGTGTCTACTGATGTTGGGGTATAAAGGGTTGATGTTTAGACAAATATGCATCATGATTATGCAATTCATCTACAATTACCTGTCCAATTACATTCCACGCCACTCTTCGACTCAGGAAAATGGCAATGAACCACATAAGGTGGATATCAACCATGTGAATATTCTGCCATGAAAAAAAATAATTTCTTAGTCAAACTAAAATAAACACTGCAACAAATTACTTCACAACTCATCACAAAAGTGATGAAAATTGTAGAAATATGAAGTTTAACCTCATTTATAACAAATAACACAAATTATAACAAGATGCACATCACATACAGCTTAAATTGTCTTAACCCTTTAACTCCCATGAGTGACCAAGACAGAAATTCTCCTTACAATATCAATACAATATTGTGCAGACAAGTGATGAGAATAAAGAAAAATATCAGTTAGGGAATTTTTCAGTTGACACAATACCAAATTCTCCAAACTAACATCACAAGAACTGTATGGTACACAGTTGGGAGAATTACTAATGAGATCTTGGGAGTTTAAGGGCTAATAGTTAATACTTTAATAATGACTTCTGGTACAGTTGTCCAAGTTTAAGCCCTGTTCAGGGACTGCAGTGCTTCTTAGCTTTGTATTCACAGTATTGAAAAGATGCTTACACCCAAGAGCAATATCTGTACATTTGACATTGGTTAGTGACTGTTTCATCTATTTTTAAAGACTGATTTTTGAAAGCTGATAACTAGCTTAAAACAGACTCCTCATGACAGATGTCTACAGTTAGCAGCATTGTACAAACAAGTTACAAATGGCATTAAAATAGCAAATAAACTGAACAGAATGACCTAACTTTCCCAACGAGACAAAAACTAGCTACTTGACTCCTATGGCAAAAAAAATCACAGCAAATCTGAACAATCAGTTCACATAACCCAGACTTGTAACAGTGAACTAACAAACAACTCCTTCCCTGATTCTAATGAAGACTTCAGCTCAGGTTGCTGAAATATCAGTCATTGCCATCAACAAGAATTCTTCCCTAGACTACTCTCACCGGCACGACCAGATGACAAAGTTGACTTTTTCATTAACCCTATGATCCTTTAGAGCATCAGGCATCTAAATTCTCCTTACAATATCACTCCTGAATCAAACATATAGGTCACAAGAATAAAGAAAATGATCCCAAACTAAAGAAGATCATGATTGCGAGATAATTTCTCATGGTCAGTGCTTTTGGAATTGTTTGGAGAACAGTTAAGAGAATATCCATCCTGATGTTAAAGTGTTCCGGGTGAACACGGTAACATTATTTCTAAACGTAGTCAATGTGTAAAATTTTGAAAGGAGAGAGGACTAGCAACACCTCTGCACCTCTGGAGAGGCCCGCTAAAAAGGCCTGAAATCAATATTGAAAGAAAAGGTTTCAGTCACTTTTTAAGTTTTTCCTATTGTAAAAACATTATTAAATTCATGCACTTTGACAAACCCACTTTGATTAATGGGTCTAAAATTTATGTTTTACACTCCCTGAGGTGAGCATGAAACATTTTTATTCAAACCATAATATGGAACAAGTTTTACACCACTTTGTAGAATTTCCACCTCACAAAAATACCAAAACATGAAGCTTTGACAATTCTACTCCCACGAGTAACAAAGACAAAAGTTGTCCTTACAATGTCAATACAACATCAACCAGAAAAGTTATGAGAATAGAGAAAAATATTACTTGGGGGATTATTAGTTGATCCAATACCAAGTTCTCCAGATTTACAACAAAATAATTATATGGCAGAGGGTAACAAGAATTACTAATGCCATCTTGGGAGTGAAAAGATTTAAGACATATCTTTAAATAAAACAATTTCCTACCCATGAAAAATCACCAGTCACCATAAAAGCAGAAAAGTTGAAACACTGGCTAACTCATTTTTTGAGTCCATTTTCATCATAAATTCAAGAACACTAACAAGACTTCAGTAAGTCACCTACTGGTAACTAACATTAAAATTCTCATCCCCAACAATCAATTTTCGTCACACTGGGAACCAGCTGATTATAATTTTGGAACTACATAACTTTAAAACTAAAAGAAAGAAACATCTGCTCCATAAATCTTCACATCCTTGAAGCTACATACATCAAAACAGCTAACCTGGTGGAGATCAGAACTCAAGGCATCTGACCCTTTGAATGTTAAGTCATTTCCTGAACAACAATATACTACTCATGCGTTTTATAAGTAAAATGGTAGACCAAATCATTCATCATTGAAAAAGAAGCTCACATATATTATATTTGACAGGTTCAAAGGAAAAGAACAATGGCGTGTTGTCTCCATACCTACTCCACAATTAGCATCACAATTCATTTCTGTCAACTACCCACGGGGGGATAGGCGAATTAATAATAATGGTATACCGCACAACAATAATCATTTTCGTATTTTCAAATCTACCGATGTACAAAATACTCGAGCGTCACCCCAACTGGCTATTTCTGACAAGAATCGAGCGAGCGCTATTTTTAAAGGTTAATTTTTAGCTGCTGCTTAATAATCAATGAATTGGAACACCTGGTACAGAAGTAGGGAGATAACCAGTTTGTAAACTATACACGGGAAAGGAATAATTATTTGAACAACGCTAATTTTTGACAATCAATTGATTTTTTAATGGTCGAGAGAAGTCGATATATTGTACCATCATTCATACTAAGAACGGAATTAGAGTTACTCAACATTAAGTGCACCTACCGTTTTGTAGATGTTGACATGCTGAAGAACAAGCGCGCTGACAAGATAGCAAAAAAATAAAATTTCGAAACCCATTGAGGTAAACGCAGGCAAGTTAGGATGAGGATAGTGGTACAGTGGAGGGATCGTTAACAACGAAGAGATCGAATGTATTCCACTGGTAGATGGGGGCGATCCGTTTCTGTGGAGAACAAATGAATCGAAAGCGAAATTTAGCGTTCATTATGCAGTCGCGCGTGCCACTGGACACATGTAGTTAGGTTTCATCAAGAATTCTTCTTCGTACGGGCAATCAGGCCTTCGATTTCTGCAGACGTTACACTCTAAAATAGAAACGAATGACTTTACAAATTGTAAACAATATTATCGAAGAAAAGAACAAAGATTGGCTACAAGATAAAACTTACCGATAACCTCGTACAGCGTTCTGAAGACTTCGTATACTGGACGGGCAACTCGCCTTGACGGTGACAAATTTTCTCCCTCCCGGCATCAAACGACACAGCCACAGGAAAATATGATCCAGAATGGAAGAGCTGGCGACCAGATAGAGGATGAACGGCCAAAGTAGCGTTCCAAACATCTACATTAACGATCTCACTCCTTATAATGTTTCTTTATTCTTCTCACCACAAAGTCAGCCGTCTGCTTGAACTCTTTTGGAGATGCCCGCTGATCATATAAACGCAGTCTCACGTAAATTCTTGGAAGTTCCCGAAAAATGCCATTCAAAATGTTTAAAATGTTCAGTTAAGGAAGTTTCAAGTTGTTTTTCTTCCGAACATTCACTTCTTTTAGGCAGCGATCGAATTGAAAGTTCCTTCTAAATCCGGATTTTAAAGCGTAATTCCCTAGTGATTAGATTCAACTTGAATCACGCGCGTCTCACAAGATTTGTCTTTGTATGGTGAACAGGAAGACACAATAACACACGAGGCATTGCTGATAGAAATTCCATATAATAAAAAACCACGATGCTGCCTGAGTCAAAAACGAATCTTGCATTAAAAAATGTCCACTCCTGCATCATAAATTTTACTTACACTAGACAGAAGTTAGTCTACAAATTTATGTTGGATGATGGTTAGGGAAGAAGTGACTTAAAACGATCGGCTAGGGTTAAGAATCTAAAAGAGGCAAATGGAATGCATTGGATGTCTTTTTGTTTAGCAGTTCAGCTAATCAATCAGTCGACGAGGTAGCAGGAAGTGCCAAAAGCCACATATAATCAAGAATCATGATAGTGTACGCAATAGTCGGTGGACACGACAAGGTTCGTTTTCAAAAGAGTGGACTGGATCCGACTAACACGCGCACAGTACGTTATGAACTGTGAGTGTGACGTCAACTTTCACTTCAACAGTTTTGCAGAATGAAACAAACAGTGGGCTTAGGGTGAAGAGCGAAAGTTTCCTCAAAACATGAAGAGTAAGGCTGCGACTGCAGCGCTTTCACTTCCCTTTTTGTTCAAGCTGAAAAGGTAAGATTTTTTTAATTGTTGTGAAATAGTAGAAAGAGCCTGTTGTTATTCTGACATATATTTCTCTCTCATCTATGAAGCTATGAGAATTCAAATTCCGTGGATTATCGTAAATAAGGGTAACTTTCCCGGATAAATTACCCTGTTGAAAACTAACCTTGTTTCATTTCTCAAAACTATTTGGTACCAGTTTTCCAAAAGGATTTTTTTTCGGCAAAATAGCAAACAAGTCTTACTAATTTCTTCCCGGTAAACAGATACTTCTCCTGTTGCCATGGTGGTTTTCACACGTGCGTGCGAAGTGTGTGCGTACAACGGTCAACCGCCTCGTGCTTTTCTGATCTATAACATTCATTTTTAATTCACTGGAAATAATTGTAATCTGATTGGCTCTCAGCTGTGCGATTTATTTACGAATTGCACTCTCTTTTCTCCAAATCGCTTCTTTTTCCTAGCCCATGAGAAAGCAACATTACAAAAATTCAACCAATATGATTCCAAGACTTATTTAAAGTAACCAATCAAATTTCAGGAAAATAGAAGCCCAAGAAGCTTTTATGTGGCAAATTTGGCTTTCGTACCCACAACATTTTCGAGCAATTTTGGTCCAAAATCATACTTGTGATTTCAGATCATGTGTATGATTTCCGACCAACTTGACCCACCCCCCCCCCCCCCCCCCTCCTCCCGCCCACTCAGTTCTCACGCAGTTCAATTACCATTACACATCGACTAAAGATTAGACGTTTGGGAAAAGGGAAATCCCCGGTCGTTTTGAATTTTCCTAAAAACGAAAAAGGAGTCCTAAACTAGGAAGGTAGGATCAACCCTTTGTGTGAAGATAGGGCATCTGTATGATAAATCTGAACGCCCATTTCAAAAAAAAAATACGCCAAGAATGCTTTTGTTTCTTCAATCTTTTATTTTTTAATTGAATACGTTAGGTTCGTACAACTTAAGAGTCGAACACTTAAGTTTTAATGACAAATAAAAATCAAATAAAGACTCCAAAATTAGAATGAAAGCGGTTCAGACCAAGCAAACTGAATAAAAAAAATGGAAAAAAGTGAGCAAAATGGAGAAAAAACTTGCTTGAGTTAGCCTCGCATAAGAAATATTTAGTATGTGTAGGAGAGAGGGGGCTGGGGTAGGAGAAAGATTTAAATAAAATTTGGGAGAGAAGAGAACACAGTTATACTTCGCATAACTAGCTAAAACGAATGATATTAAGAAACAGGTTAAAATGCAGTCTTTTCATTAAAAAAAAATTACATTTATGGGCGACTGAGGACTCCCAAAGGGGAAAACAATCTATAAAGGTCTTATGAGCATACTTAGTTGGGGAGTTACTATACAATTATCAGAGCACTGAGTATAGATTATAGACAGGAAACTTTGTTCTCACATTTTTAACCGATAATTTAGGTCTAATACATGATCTTGTACAGACTCTCCTAAGTAGTGTCCTAAATTGCATTTATACCTCTCAAGTCGACGAGGTTTCCCTGGCAACTAATTTAAATTTATGATATGAAAAGTACTCCTTTGGAAAATCCTCCCATCCAAAGACTGGACGAAAGGACTTTGAACAAGGACACTTGTCGAGGGAAAGCTTGTCCAGCGAAAACTTTGGTGGTCTTTTTGAAAAGTCTGCTTCATTCATCTGAATGGCGTGCTTCATATTTCTTTGGTGCCCTGTGATAAAGCGTGCGTCCAAATTGAAGCGAAATGCATGGAGGGAATTTCTTTGGCTAAAACATTTAAATTACCGCGTTGAAAATGTTACAAAATAAGTATTTCACACTTCAGCTTCCGTTCATCGATATATGAAATACTCGGGGAGTTTGGAGAGCAAGAGAGTTCATTATGAATTTCTTGAGGCGAAGCCGAAAAAAACGCTAGCTTCTTGAGTGCTCTCCAAACTTCGTAGGAGATTCTTGTATCGATGGACGTGCACCCCGCATAAAACAATCGTTAATGCTGATTTAGAATTTTTCCAAACAGAATAGAGATATCCTCAGATTAGGACGACTTCCGTGATGATATTTCCGCTTGTTGGATTTTGTTCGCTCTGATCTGAGAAAAAGACCTGCGCGTATTTGTCCAAATAGTTTTAAATTCTCTTTTTATAATCCTGTTCAAGTATCCGTATAAATAAGGATTTATAACTCCCGTGGAGTAATAAAGTCCAGAGACAATGGACTGTAGTAATTCCGTCCCATAATTCCTTGTGTGTGAGGACCACAGGTTTACCACTATATATGGTGTCCAGGCGATAAATAACACTCCGACGATCGAGGCCAATGTCAAAGCTGTCTTGATATCTGCTCTGAGGGCAGAATGCGGCTTGCGCATGCAATATTGTCCCGATATGACCGCCGCTGACACTTGTGCACCAAGTTCGGGCTCAAGTACTGCAGCCATTTCCCTTTGACGCAATGCCTTTACTTCGCGGGCGATTTGCTTCGAATGACGTAAAGCTACTCGCAGTATACTGATGTAAATAAAAATAATAGAAACCAGCGGCATAAAGTAGATTGTAGTCATTTTGAAGTATGTAAAACTAACGGATATGTGGTAATTGGATTCGCAAAGCCACTGTCCAGGGAAAGCATAATAACGACTCCATCCCAGAAGAGGATAACACGCTGATAACAACGCATAAAACCAGATGAAGAATATGCATAAAACGGTCCTGTTACGGGTTACCCAGCCTTTGTATTTCAGAGGAGTTAGTATGGCTAGATACCTGTCCATGCTAACTGATAAAAGCGTCAAAACTGAGACTGCGCTCGTAGCATGTTGGAAGAATCCAATGATGTCGCAGCCAGTTTTACTCACGACAACGTAATTACTTGCCGTGGTTGCGATGCTGAATGGTAGTAGAAACAACGCCACCAGAATGTCATTGATGGCCAAATTCACAAGGAAAATACAGGAAGGAGAGTGAAGACGCCTCACTCTATAGATAATGTAGCAGATTGCAGTGTTCCCAATGACAGTAGACACGATCATAAACACTATCACCACAACTAAACCCACAGCCATGGTGATAACTTGTCCTAGCTTTCCATCATCAGTCAGTGTCTGTTGATATTATGGAATCCTTCCTTTCTTTAGAAACTTATTAGAGACCTGGTAAGAGAAAACAGAGTCTCACATACATTTCGCTGTCACTGAATTATAAATGACCCGCTACAGAGCAGATCTGAACAATAACCCGAACCATGGAAATAAAGAATGGATAAAACAATACGAGATAACAAATAGAATCTCACCTTTTTGAGACCGTCAAAGGAGAATTTATCATCTCCTTTGAAATTATGGCCGGAAGAGCTAGCGGTTTTTTAACACTCAGTGAAATAAAGGTCAGAAAAAGTAAATTATCCCGCTCTCATCTATCCTATGCCCTTCGTTTTTAAACCGACAACTAAGCAGGCAATTTAAACTATATTTTCCAGACTTTTCGCCTCACGAAAGAACGTTGCCGGCAAAGTGTGCACCAGGTTAATTAAAGCACAGAGGGTAGTTTTACAAAGTCCAAACCTTAGGTTACTAATTGAACATTTACATACGCATTCTTCCTAGGGTACTTAGGAACGAGAGTCGACAGAAAGAGCTGACCTTGTGGGAGAGAAATTTTCTGGATTTGATACAGACAAATAGATGCTTCTTCATCAGCCAAAAAGTGGTAGTTTGGCTTTTGGTAAATGAAATTATTTGTTAGATGATAACTGGTTCGTGAAAATTTCTTAACAATGATGAATGTCTGTTTCGGTGTCGCAAAGAATAATGAATTAATTGTGCCAAAATAATGGACACTTTTACATGACAAAACGCATTCTTTGTGCCGTATTTTAGTTTCCATTGAAGATTCCGTGCAATTCTGCGGCGGTTTGATTTTTTATCAAGGGCGCCTACAAACATAAATATGACCAAATTTCCAAGGAAATAATTTCTCCAGAAGTCCCATACGATATCTAGAAAATTACGCAAGTAAGGGAGAATGATTTGTCCGCGATGGAAGACTTCGTTACTGAGGACTTCCTCAGGCCTGACAATTCTGTTTCATAAATAGCAATTTTCTTAAATTGTAACTCCTTGTGAGCACAATCTTTAAAGACAATTATTTTGAGGCAGTTGCAAACCCTTCAGTCCTTAAGCTTGTGATCTTCATTTCAGAGGCTTTTCTTCTAGCATAGGTGGACATTAGGTAACAAAAGAATAGAATTTCTTAGCTTCCTCAATTATTTGACGTCTTTCATCTAAGCTTTCCGCAAAAAAGATAAAAGCCAGTTAACACTTAATTGCCTCCAAAATTTCTCAATCTGTTTGCTGAATGCATGCCCCAGCTCTCTTGTTTTAGTGAGCCTAATTATTTTGAATAAAATTGTCTTTTGGTTTGTCTAGTCTTTAGAGAGTTAAATTGGCCAATTTTACTCTTCCGATCACTTAGTTTTTTAGCAACGGCTTTCTTTGTCGCAATCCGATTTTACCTCGCTTTGGTCTTTATCAGTTTATCTACAGATCAAACGCGCTGTAGGCACCTTCTTCCTTGTGTCTGACATGTCCAATGTTGCTAACCTGGCGACGGTCTATCTCTCTAAGGAACAAACAAAAACAACACAGGATCGCCTGCGGAAACAGGAACAAAGCGCTTACGCTTTCATGTGAAATTTTCGCTATTTTCACTGATGAATTTAAAAAATAGTTTTGATTCGGAAAAGCCGGTCCGGTTTGGAAAACTTCCGAATAAAAATTAATCAAATTTTGCCTGCAGAGTTCAAAAATCCTCAAACAGTTGATGTCCACGATCTTACACGAAATGCTCTTGAATATTAATTCAGTGTATTTTCATCCGGACACCTGTCATATTTCATAATTTTTAGCCTCGAATATATGTTACGACCTAAATGTGGTGCAGAAATGTTAAGAAACAGACTTACAAAGCAGTTTTAGTCTGTAGGAAGTTTTTTTCTAATGAGGACTAAAAAGGTCTACTTTTTCCTTTTCCACGCGCCACAGCTAATCCAAATTCGAAAATTTCAAAAGTTAAAATGTTGCATTTACATGAAACCGTCTGAGTTGCACTTTCGACCTCTTTGAGTTGTGGAGTCTGCTTTGTTAAATTTTGTCCTCCAATAGCTATCGCATCACAGCAAAAGCATGCTTATCTCTGTAATGTAGGTGTATAAAACAGTTAACTGTGTTGCTGAAGGTTTTTTGGGCGCAAAGCCATGAATAGAGGAACCGCAGGTGTAATTAGCACACACAAAGCCACCGGCCCCGCTATAAAGTTGTGGATTAAGATTATATCCTCTGATTGTAGGGGACAACAAATGTTTATCACACAGACCTTTCAGCAATTTTATTAAAAAGCCGCTAAACGAAGAAGAACATTTAAAAACTTGGTTTCTTTTTCAACCTGTCGACAAAAAATGCTGCACTGTTGAAAAAATTTTTTTTCCAAGAGCTTTTTCGGAAAGTGCTTTCCTATTAGAGAGAAGGAATCCCATCATTTCTTTCCTATAAAAAAACATTTGATCATAATAAATGGGTGATATTCTAATAATTCATGTTGAAGTTATTGCACTTCCTCGTCAGCCGGAAAAAATTATTCAATATTTGGAAAAACCAACAAAGTATTTGATAATTAATTCCTTTCATTGTTTACTAAGGATTATTTATTCTACCAGAAAAAGACTAGAATATTCCAAAATGAGGCAAATCCTTCCCGAAAGTCAGGGACTCAGTCGCTTTTAAAAGGAATTCAACGTAGTGTTTGTGGTAACATTGGTGTACATTTGCCTGCGTGAAGGAGGTGTTATCCTTAGAAGGACTAGTTTAATAGAATGCTTGTTTAATGTCACTGATATGAATGGTTCTAAGTAGTATTTGTTTAGTACATGTAGTTAACGAGAAAAATCGCGCTCAAGTCGTCGCAATGGCTTCCATTTCGAAGCCTGATTTCGTTGAAATGAAAAAGAAAACGGAGAAGTTAACTGGCTTTTTTTACGTATTTTTACGATATTTCGTGATGTTAACCTCCCCAAAAATGAACTTATGGAAATAACATTTATCAACGAATATTATATGCGCCGCTGTGGAGATGAAGTCAAAGAAAATGTATTAACTCACCATGATAGGTAAATGCTCGTTAAGGAGAAAAAATGAAATGTTTTTTAGAGCACAGACTTTTTTTCTACCTATTAAAGTCGTAATAGAACGTTACGTGTTAATCGAAAGGTATAAAACTCCAGCTCACAGCTATTTCTCATATTTCGGTGCATTTTCAAGAGTGTTTTTTTAAGTAATTCGTTCCGGAGGGACTAGTTAAATGGATGAAAACTAAAGCAACTAATCTTTCACAGAAGTAGGAAGAGAAGAATAAATAACCGAATTTTGAAATTAATTAAAGTTGACAGTAAAGATTAAATATTCAAAAATAGACATTGCAAGCTTCAAGTCAGTTATTTAAACAAGCTCAAACAACTCAAATTAGTGCTGTTTCCTTTTTTTCTGCATGAAGCTTCGAAAATGAAACTTTACGGGTTCAACTTAATTTTTTTTCACTTTACACATCGATTTTAGAGTGCATGACTAACAATTCAGCGCGCCGTCACCACAACTTATTGTGGTGTAATAAGTAAACAGAATGGCCTTTACTTTTCTCCCAAAACACCAGGTGCTAGGGAACGAATACAGCTGAGTACTGATAAACCAGCCTTTCTAGAAAGAAGAAATATCTACTGAAGCTCGATCGGCAAAATCTAAGGGTTCCGTCCCGGTCGTTTTTGCTTATTGACATCCAGTCTCTATTCCCGTTGCTTTTGAAGGTGTTTGCATCCTAAATTTTAGCTGAGTTAAATGCAAAATACAAAAAACATTTTGATCAGAGAGTAAATTCAAATTAATGTTTTTCAGACGCTACATAATTTGTAGGTAGGTGGCAAAATTGTCGCCCCGCGAAAAATAGATACGTCTAAAAATTAATTGCCTTCATCAATCTTAGGTAGAGAATATCAGGAATTCTCGGAGGCGTTTATTCCCAAGGGAAACTAATTTTTGAACGGGATACGAAATGTTAAAAAATATAACACCGAGAGTGCTGATGTGTTTAATGTTTAATGAAAAAGAGGCTGGAGTACTCACCTCATCAGTTAGTTTTGCTGTTAGTCAGAGTTTTTCTTAAAAGAGAACTAACTGATTTTGGTCAGATTGAAATATTAAACGTATGCGCAGGACGAAATAGAAACTTCAGGCAAGACACAAATAATTAAAAATCAACCTTTAAATAACAAATTAACTGCTTCAAAATTTTCTTACCGAGTTGGGCTTCAAACTTGCAAAATTCAGTTTTAGATCGAAAATTTCCTCACGCAAGGAAAATTCTTCGTCGAAGCTCGAATCGCCCTTGGCATTCGACTGGTATTTCAATTAGCCAGTGCCTCCTAAACATAATGGTTCGCATCTTAAGACCCTTGGAGCTTGTGAATAACTAAATTGGACTGCGTATAACGTACATATCCGGTCAAATATAGCGCTCTCTCTTACGGGTTATCTGTCATGTAAAATGCATTTTCATGTGATTGGTCCTTTTTATGTAAAATACCGGTTCGCAGGAAGCGAGAGGGGAATTAAATTATGTCATGTCTAATATTTAGCATGAAGAAGAAATAATATAATTATGTAACGAATGCACATGTAAAACAACCTCTGTCTATTGTGAACTTTCTTCAGGTCATTAAGGAATTAATTTATATTTTGGAGCTCACTAGGGGGCTGAACTTATGTTTTTATTAAAACGGTTTGTTACCACTTTGAAAGGTTGGGGCGGAAAATGGGTATAAAAAGGTTTTACAGATCACAATTAACTCCACTGCTCACCATGTAAGGATTAAGATTACCTTTTCCGTTTGGGATGAATCACGATTTGCTGCCAACAAAGCTTAAGAAAAGTCTGGCAATCTTCGTAGAAATGGCTTTATGATTATCGTGCAATGAAGATTTTTGGGGGAAGAATCTGCGATTATCAAGTTGTTATCTTATAATCAGGCGCGAAGAAGTAAGACCCTAATCGCACATTGTCATAACCCATTAGTAAAGAAGCAGTAGAATACAAAAGAAATATATCT